GCCTCTAGTTGACTAGCTCGTTGGTCAACAGATAGTCATGGTTTCCTGACTATGGACATTAGATGTCGTTGACAACGGGATCACATCATTAGGAGAATGATGTGATGGACAAGACCCAATCCTAAGCATAGCACAAGATCGTGTAGTTCGTTTTGCTAGAGCTTTTCCAATGTCAGGTATCTCTTCCTTAGACCATGAGATCGTGTAACTCCCGGATACCGTAGGAGTGCTTTGGGTGTACCAAACGTCACAACGTAACTGGGTGACTATAAAGGTGCATTACAGGTATCTCCGAAAGTGTCTGTTGGGTTGACACAGATCGAGACTGGGATTTGTCACTCCGTATGACGGAGAGGTATCACTGGGCCCACTCGGTAGTGCATCATCATAATGAGCTCAAAGTGACCAAGTGTTTGGTCACGGGATCATGCATTACGGTACGAGTAAAGTGACTTGCCGGTAACGAGACTAACGAGGTATTGGGATACCGACGATCGAGTCTCGGGCAAGTAACATACCGATTGACAAAGGGAATTGTATACGGGGTTGATTGAATCCTCGACATCGTGGTTCATCCGATGACATCATCGAGGAGCATGTGGGAGCCAACATGGGTATCCAGATCCCGCTGTTGGTTATTGACCAGAGAGCCGTCTCGGTCATGTCTGCGTGTCTCCGAACCCGTAGGGTCTACACACTTAAGGTTCGGCGATGCTAGGGTTATTAGGAAGACTTGTATGTGATTACCGAAAGTTGTTCGGAGTCCCGGATGAGATCCCGGACGTCACGAGGAGTTCCGGAATGGTCCGGAGGTAAAGATTTATATATGGGAAGTTGTCATACGAACACCGGAAGGTTTCGGAGGCATATCAGTATTGTACCGGGGCCACCGGAAGGGTTCCGGGGGTCCACCGGGAGGGGCCACCCCTCCCGGGGGGCCACATGGGCTGCGTGGGGCAGGAGCCAGCCCCTGGAGGGCTGGGCGCGCCCCCTCCCTTGGGCCCATGCGCCTAGGGTTGGGGGGGAACCCTAGAGGGGGGCGCCCCCTTTGCTTGGGGGGCAAGTCCCCCCTCCCTGGTCGCCGCCCCCTCTGGATCCCATCTAGAGGGGCCGGCCCCCCTTGCCCCTTCCCCTATAAATAGAGGGGTGAGGGGAGGGCTGCACACACAAGCCAAGGCGCAGCCCCTCCCCTCCCCAACACCTCTCCTCCTCCGTTGTGTGCTTGGCGAAGCCCTGTCGGAGTACTGCCTCTCCACCATCATCACACCGTCGTGCTGCTGCTGGAGCCTTCTTCCTCAACCTATCCTTCCCCCTTGTTGGATCAAGAAGGAGGAGACGTCGCCCGTACCGTACGTGTGTTGAACGCGGAGGTGTTGTCCGTTCAGCACTTGGTCATCGGTGATCTGAATCACGGCGAGTACGACTCCATCATCACCATTCCCTCGAACGCTTCCGTACGCGATCTACAAGTGGTATGTAGATGCAAACTCACTCCCTTGACTCGTTGCTTAGATGAACTCATAGATGGATCTTGGTGAAACCGTAGGAAAAATTTTAATTTTCTGCAACGTTCCCCAACAATGGGGTCATCGAGGAGGTCGCGGCTCGCCCGGAGAGCGGCGCCAGCTACGGGAGTCGGGTATGACGCCGCCGGTCTCTTGCGCCATTTTTTGCCCTGTGCATCACCGGCCTCACCTGTTCCTCGGCGCAGATGGTCCGGATGTTCGCCATGTATCGCCAGGACAGCAGCTCCGACCAAGATTTCAAGGACCTCCACGTGTTCTCCCCGGTCGATAAGTATGAGAAGTGGGCGGATGTGCGGCGTGCTACCTCTTGAGCTTGCGTTGGTTTTTCCCTTGAAGAGGACAGGGTGATACAACAAAGTAGAGTAAGTATTTCCCTCAGTTTGAGAACCAAGATATCAATCCAGTAGAAGACAACACACAAGTCACCGAATACCTGCACAAACAATCAAACAAACTTGCCCCCCAATGCGATAAAGGGGTTGTCAATCCCTTCACGGTTACTTACAAAAGTGAGATCTGATAGAGATGGATAAACGGTGAAGTAAATATTTTCGGTATTTTTGATTTATAGATCGGAAAGTAAAAGATTGCAAAATAGTAGATCGGAAACTTATATGATGGAAAATAGACCTGCAGGCCATAGGTTTCACTAGTGGCTTCTCTCAAGATAGTAAATAATACGGCGAGTGAACAAATTACTGCCAAGCAATTGATAGAAGAGCGTATAATTATGATGATATCTAAGGCAATGATGAACATAGGCATCACGTCCGTGTCAAGTAGACCGACTCCTGCCTGCATCTACTACTATTACTCCATACATTGACCGCTATCCAGCATGCATCTAGAGTATTAAGTTCATAAAGAATGGAGTAACGCATTAAGTAAGATGACATGATGTAGATGAATTAACTCAAGCAATATGATGAAAACTCCATCTTTTTATCCTCGATGGCAACAATACAATACGTGCCTTGCTGCCCCTACTGTCACTGGGAAATGACACCGCAAGATTGAACCCAAAGCTAAGCACTTCTCCCATTGCAAGAAAAACCAATCTAGTAGGCCAAACTAAACCGGTAATTCGAAGAGACTTGCAAAGATATCAAATCATGCATATAAGAATTCAGAGAAGATTCAAATAATATTCATAGATAATCTGATCATAAATCCACAATTCATCGGATCTCGGCAAACACACCGCAAAAGAGTATTACATCGAATAGATCTTCAAGAACATCGAGGAGAACATGGTATTGAGAATCAAAGAGAGAAAAGAAGCCATCTAGCTACTAGCTATGGACCCGTAGGTCTGTGGTAAACTACTCACACTTCATCGGAAGGGCAATGGTGTTGATGTAGAAGCCCTCCGTGATCGAATCCTCCTTCGACAGGACGCCGAAAAAGGTCCCTAGATGGGATCTCATGGGTACAGAATGTTGCGGCGGTGGAAAAGTGTTTTCGTGGCTCCCCCTGATGGTTTTGGGGTATAAGAGTATATATGGGCGAAAGAATTAGGCCAGGAGGCCCACGAGGGGCCCATAAGACAAGGGGGCATGCCCTACCCCCTGGGCGCACCCTCCACCCTTGTGGCCGCCTTGTGGCTCCTCCGACTTCATCTCCAAGTCTTCTGGTTTGCTTTTGGTCCAAGAAAGATCATCGCGAAAGTTTTATTCCGTTTGGTATTCCGTTTCTGTGAAACTCAAAACTGGCAAAAAACAGAAACTGGCACTGGACTCTAGGTTAATAGGTTAGTCCCTAAAATAATATAAAATAGCATATTAATGCATATAAAACATCCAAACAGATAGTATAATAGTATGGAACAAGCAAAAATTATAGATACGCTGGAGACGTATCACGGCGCACCCTCGCCAAGGCCAAGAAGACGTACAAGCCGGACGTGCCCACGCCAGGCGCGGCAGAGGGTGCCTAGACGGCAATAAAGGAGCCAAGGCGGCGAAGGCGCGACGCTGGCTATCGCGCGTCTGCAAGAGTCCATCAAACACTGCATCGCCGATGCCATGACCTGCGCCGCCCATAGGGAAGAGAAAATCGCGGCTCGATGGTCGGCGTTGATGGCGAACAGCGCCGTCAAGTTCGACCTGCTCCGGACCAATGTTGTCGCGAAGAAGAGGAACACCGACCTGGCATTCCTGATGGGGGGGACATGTCGGGATGGACGAGCAGGTCAAGGTATGGTTCATGGTGGAGCGTGGCCTCATCCTTAACCAGATCTCGTCGACGGCGGCGCCAACTCCCACGCCAAGCCCGAGCGACGCCTCCACGACGCCCAGCACAGAAGCCGCGCCGACGCCGACTAGCCCGCGCACGCCGACTCCCGCCAGTCCGACGCCGGAGGACGGCGCCGCCGTTTGATGCATCGCGCATCGCCTACGCGTCCTTCTTTTTGAACGCCGTACTTTCAAGTTATTTGGTCGCCGCCCTGTGGCATGGTGATCGTCGAACTATGTGGCGCTGATCGCCGGACTTGAAGCGTTTTTTGGTAGCGGGAAATGTCGCGTTTGAATTTAAACGGCTTGGGGCCGGTCCATGGGGCCGTGACTGGGACCTAGATCGCCCGCAGTGCCTAAAAAGCGTCGGGCGATGGCCCGAAATAGCGCCGGCCACTGCGCTTGGGGGCCGAACAAGTGGAGCTGCTCTTAGAGCATCTTCAACAAGCGCCCAAAAACTGAGCCGCGCGCTAAAATCCAGGTTTTTTGGGCGCCGGACATCTCCAGCAGAAGCTGTAAAGTAGTGCGCGCGCAAAAACTGGTTGGACGCGTGCTGAAAAAAGCTGTAAATTTGAGGCGCCGGATTGCGCGCGCTTCACAATTTACACTGCGTGTTCTTTTGGGCGCGCGTTTTTGGTATCTGCTAAAGCAATGTTGGGTCCGGCGTACTAAAAGTGCTACAGTGTCGCGCTAAAACTATTTTAGGGCGCGAAATTTTTGTGGACATGTTGGAGATGCTCTTAGGGCATGTACAATGATGCTATCTAAGGACTGCCACATAGGATAAATAATGAGGTGGAGGAGAGAGAATACATAAGAAAAGACTTGTCTTCTCTTATTTAAGAAAAGACAAGAGATGATCTTTTAGCACAGTATGTCTCACCATGTTTTTAGAAATAACTAATTATTAAAGATAAGGCTAAGAGATGATTCATTGTAGACATATTTCTTTGTCATCGATAAACTATATGCAAATATTAAGATAAGACTATCTTTATTAGCTCCGAACTGGAGTAGCTGAAAAACACAGCAACGACACAACACAACCACCACCCGCCAGCGACCCAGATCCCATCTACCCAGCACCAAACTGGAGCAGCCAGTGAAAACGAGAGCTGCCTATATATACCCCGTTCTGGGTGCGACCCGCGCCCCAAGCTCCGGCGCGCCAGTGCGACAAACCACCGCTACCACAGCGTCCACCTACCCGTCCTCCGCCTCGAGAAGCGTCGGCGAGGCCATGGCGCGGAAGAAGATCCGGGAGTACGACTCCAAGCGCCTCCTCAAGGAGCACCTCAAGCGCCTCGCAGGCATCGACCTCCAGATCCTCTCCGCGCAGGTGATGACCCCCTCTCTGTCTTCTCCGCCCGTGCGTGCGCGCGCGCTTCTTCCTCATCTCTAATCGGCTCGTGATTGGGTGGATCCCGCGGGCTGGTCGCTGGATCTTGACGTCCCTGGGCCGGCGCGCGGGGTTCAGCTTGGGAGCATGTGGGCGTCGTGCTAGAATTTTCGGATAAGACGTGTTTCTACTGCCAATTGGGTGGGGATTTGACACCGGAAGAGACTGAAAATGTGGAATTCACGGAGCATTAGGCTTTCCGATGTGCGATCGGCCGAAACTTGGACCTGTCAGTATATTTGGATAATTGGCTCGCAGCATGTACGTGCGAGAAGGAGCTTGACTGCAAAAATCATTCACCAGAGCTGTGGACTTTGCTGCGCTGACGGGAAAATCCCTGATGTGGGGTTTCACCGGTGGTGCTGCCTAACAATCCGTGTTTCTATGTCGCCCTCAGGGTTTCATTGACCGAGAAAAGTAACACCCCTTATTAGATCTGTTGTTATGTTGATGTTAGTAGGTTATCTTTTTATCAAGTGTGTTGTTTGTTCATCGAAGTTTTAATGGCTTCGGAACCATGTTCAGTGCTGCAAAAGTGCAGCTGTAGCCCCCTAGAATCTTCGGCTCCTCATTTTTATTCAATTATGAAATCACTCATTTTGATGGAGATTTGTAGCGTCATTCAAGTAAATACAAATTGAGATAGGTGAATCAATTAGTTTTTAGCTGGGATTTTTCTGCCTGTAAATTGTAATAGGTCCATATGGTCATTTCTTCACCTGAATTTATGTCAAGGTGCTGCCGGCGAAGTTTGTACTGTCAACATTTGTGGGATTTAACTTCTAACCAGCAATATTGATATTTAGTTCAGCATTATATTTATTTTATGGTGTTCCTGTCATCCTGTAAAATATTAGTTCTTCATCAGTGAGCAGCCAGTTTATTTATTCTGAGTGAAACAGATAGTTGCAAAAATTCTGTGATGATTTTTCTTTCTATAGGTAGTGCCTTTTCTCAACATCACATTAGCCAATTTTACTGACTGAAAAGAACTGGCTCGAATTACATAGTTCGTGATTGAAATGTTTTGGGTCTTGTGTTAGTTTATTTTGTGATAACTTAATGTTTGATATTATATGTTCAGTTTCTGAAATTTGTAACTTGCTCCTTGTAAGGTCACACAATCAACGGATTTCACGGAGCTTTCAAACCAGGAGCCATGGCTCTCGTCGATGAAGTTGGTTGTTAAACCTGACATGCTGTTTGGCAAGCGTGGGAAGAGTGGCCTTGTAGCCCTCAACCTAGATCTTGCTCAAGTCCGCCAATTTGTCAAGGAGCGGTTAGGAGTTGAGGTAGTTACACATCTAACATCATGGCATACTTCTCCCATCAATCTTGATAACGAGAACTATTTCTAACCCATCTGAGTATGCTTATATATCTAGGTCGAGATGGGTGGATGTAAGGCTCCAATTACAACATTCATAGTCGAGCCATTTGTGCCACACGATCAAGAGTATTATCTCTCAATTATGTCAGACAGGCTTGGTTGCACCATTAGTTTCTCAGAGTGTGGTGGTATTGAGATTGAGGAGAACTGGGACAAGGTTAAGACAATATTTCTTCCAACAGAGAAGCCAATGACACTTGATGCATGCGCTCCATTGATTGCCACTCTTCCCTTGGAAGTAAGCTTTTGCATTCTACTATGTTGTTACTTATATCATGCCATTTGTAATGTTTTTAGTTCCTTATATTTAAGAAGTTCTTGGCTGCTGCTGGTAGTTATCTAGTTCTGCATTAACCATCATTCACAATCTATGTCTTAATTTCAGGTCCGCACGAAAATAGGCGATTTCATTAGAGGGTCATTTTCTGTTTTCCAAGGTAGCTTGCACTTGCATATGCATATAAATTGAAGTTGCTGCTTTGCCATTGAAATCATGTTATAACTATTGATTCTTTTGTCAGACTTGGATTTCTCATTTATGGAGATGAACCCATTCACCCTGGTAAATGGTGAACCATACCCTCTCGACATGAGAGGTGAACTGGATGACACAGCTGCTTTCAAGAACTTTAAGAAGTATGGTTCAGGGTTCAAGTCTAGCTTAGTGACCCCGAGTGCTTATTTTATCCTGTACTAATAATTCTGACCCCTTTTTTTTCCAATTTACAGGTGGGGTGACATTGAGTTCCCTCTACCTTTCGGAAGAGTCCTGAGCCCATCAGAAAGTTATATCCATGAACTGGATGAGAAGGTATCATATTTCTTTAATTTACATTTTTCTAAGTCCACTTCATATAATGATTACCCCTCCATTTCAAAATACATTGCTTATGATTTTTGTCCTGAGTCAATTCTTGTAAACCTTGACCAAATTTATAGATTTAAATATTAACATCTCTGATACCAAATAAATACAAGTTAAAAATATATTTCTTGATGGATCTAATGATATTGATTCAGTATTGTAGATGTTGATACTTCACTCTATGAACTTAGTTAAACTTTAAAAAGTTTTGACTTAGGACAAAGCTCATGTTCAATGTATTTTGAAATGGGGGTAGTAGCATCTACGTCGTATTTGGATTAACATGGCATGCTTCATTTAATATTGAATGGAAATTCGTGCAAGTAACATTTTTTTTATATTCTTTCAGACAAGCGCATCACTGAAATTCACAGTTCTTAACCCGAAAGGTCGCATTTGGACAATGGTTGCAGGTGGTGGTGCTAGTGTCATATATGCTGACACGGTAAACTTAACTTTCTTCCAGATATTTCTGTAGCTAGGTTTTAATGTTAATCAGTATGGATGACATATCTGATTGCCAGGTTGGAGATTTGGGATATGCTTCAGAGCTAGGGAATTATGCAGAGTACAGTGGAGCTCCTAAAGAGGAGGAGGTTTTGCATTATGCTAGAGTGGTTTTGGATGTAAGGAACCTGGAATCTTATAGCTTTGCTCTGCATATTATGTTCATCTTTTCTGTTCTGAATATCATTCTGAAACTGTGTAGTGTGCCACTGCTGATCCTGATGGCCGGAAGAGAGCTCTTCTCATTGGAGGGGGTATCGCAAACTTCACTGATGTCGCTGCTACATTCAGTGGCATCATTCGGGCTTTAAGAGAGAAGGTAAGTTGGACCATTTGGTTGGATTGATGTTCTATTTCCCAACCACTCAGCTGTCTACATTGAAACCCTTACCCATCTTATTACTTTGCTTCCAAATCTGGTGCCAGGAATCCAAATTAAAGGCTGCAAGGGTGAACATTTATGTTCGGAGAGGTGGTCCAAACTACCAAACTGGGCTCGCCAAAATGCGTGCTCTAGGATCAGAGCTTGGTCTTCCAATTGAGGTAAGCTCTTTTAGGTGAAACGGACAAACAGCCCCTATTTTTATTGAGGAATGAAGACCTCAGGTTCTCTAACACAGAACTCATATCTTCCATTTCAAACTTGATCTGGGAGTCTGTTAGCTGTGGATTTGGTATATTCCACAAGAAATTGTTTGGCCATTCCCATCCCCATGACAAACGAGCTGATTTTGCTCAACGATTCACTGCAGGTCTATGGACCAGAGGCCACAATGACTGGAATCTGCAAGCAAGCCATTGATTGCGTCATGGCCGAAGCATGATTCGTGATTGTATAGTTCCGGTGTTTACAGTTTGTCCATTTTGTTCCATATACATTTAGTATGAACAACTATTCGTGTGAAGCAAATGGAGAAAGATCGGTTTTGTGGGGGGAAAGAAACTACAGTTGTAATGCAACTACGCAATAATATATATCTTGCTTTGCGGTTCTGATCCCTTTGGTCCAAGGCACAATGAGATCAAGATAAGTCGACCCGGCTTCTCCAGATTTACAGCGTTTTTGGTTCTGTTGTGTCCGCAACTTCCTGGTGGAGCGGCTTGTGACGTCTCTCCCGACTGTGGCTTCGGGCTTTCAGGGTGTGTGACTTTGTACCCACCATTTGTGGAAAAATGCAGCTCTACCTTAGCAGGAAAGAAGATGTCTTAAAATGTTTGATTGTACGCGAGATTGTAAATAACCATATATATGAATTCGGTCAAACTTAAAAGACAACTTAAGATGCACTCTGCTACATTGACTGTGAGGTTTGGGATCCTCTGTGGTAGCGCAGCTTGCAGTACAGTCATTGCCATGTGGACCCAACCTCACATGTCATATTGCAATACTACACTATAGTTTTGCATAGGATTTTGAACCCACTGTAAAATATGTTGTCGGTTGGTAACATTGGCACTCTTATCCACAAACTAGCATACAAAATGTCGGAGATACTCTTAGGGCCTGTAGCGATGAATGCATGTTTCCTACCTAGAATGGCATTGCGTATAGTACACGCCATGCGTAACATGGCTAATAAGGGTAGATACAACCGCACCATCGATCGGGTATCCCATAGGGGGCACGTAGGCAGGCACCATGGTTGTTTGGTTGTGGCCTCATTAAGGTTTAGTTTGTGGTTGCTAAGTTGTGTTGTCATGTGCTTATTTCTAATCTACTGTGAAAAAGTTAATATAAAATGGGCAAAAGTGAGTCAAACAAAATTATGATGGAGAAAAAAGAAGGGGGTTATGAGAATCTATGATGCCACCAAATGCAACCTAAGTGTTAGTGGTGCTTGGCAAGGAGATCGGGGCTTCACGTGGAAGCAAGGGAGGGTGGCATATGAATGGCGGGGGGAAATGAGGTCAATGAATACACTCACGTGTGGGAGTAGAGAGAACGATAAAACGTTGGCAGAAGAAAGAAAGTGGGGACGTAAGGAAATTTTCACACCCTATTTTGTGTGTTGGGTAATTGTGTGGTTTTTATAATGGTTTGTCTATTAAACAAAGATTTTTTTCTAACCAAGTTGAACATGCTCTATGGTCATCAACAAATGTTTTGGACAAAAGAGCATATACATAACTTCTTCTATTGCTCTTTCCACCTAGGTGATTCCCTGGTCCGGAAGGTTCTAAAGGAATGTACAAAGATAGTGTTATAAATCGTTGAATCCTTAAGATGTCCAGTTGCATAAAAATAACATGTAATTAATAAGCTCCTGCCTTGCACGTCAAAAAACAAAAAACAAAAACAGAGTGGCCCCGTTTATAAAGAAAAGTAGGCCGCACACATCGTACGATTGATTAAGGGACAACCGTGTAAAAAACTCCACAACCATGCCAACAATACCCAACTCGAACTCCACTGCCAACATGTCCACAACCCGAAGATATGTGAGCGAGCTCTTCGCAAATGCCTTCAAGAAAACATCATCGACGGTATCCTTCGATCCCCATCGAACCACCCAAAGCCACCCACAGCAACCCTGTCGGGCATTGGGGTAAGGCTAGCCACTACCACCAACCTCCACGACAACCCTCGAACCAACAAGTCGTAGTATAGTGGAGAGGAGGAAGTCTTCAACGACAACTCCAAGAAGCATCGTCGCCCGTGTTCTTCGACCCCCGTCGAACACACGCTTTCGCCCAGAGCCTAAGCCCCTCCACCTACTAGAGCCCCGGGGAAGGAGCCCAGCAATGACCAACAGAGAGCGAAAAAGCGCGACATAAGCAGACCATGGGTGCCTGATCCGAGTGCACACTGATCGAGCCACAACAACACCATCGAGACATGCACACGCCGACGCACATCACACCACCACCATACGCGGACCCACCACACCACCAGCAGCGACACATAGCCGCACTGTTGCTGAGGCCAACGGCGCCTGCACAAATCCGAAAGAGTGAGCAACACGCGGGCACAACTAGAAAACATGACCATGAAGGAAATATGCCCTAGAGGCAATAATAAAGTTATTATTTATTCCCTCATATCATGATAAATGTTTATTATTCATGCTAGAATTGTATTAACCGGAAACATGATATATGTGTGAATACATAGACAAACTAAATGTCACTAGTATGCCTCTACTTGACTAGCTCATTAATCAAAGATGGTTATGTTTCCTAACCATAGACATGTGTTGTCATTTGATTAACGGGGTCACATCATTAGGAGAATGATGTGATTGACTTGACCCATTCTGTTAGCTTAGCACTTGATCGTTTAGTATGTTGCTATTGCTTTCTTCATGACTTATACAAGTCCCTATAACTATGAGATTATGCAACTCCCGTTTACCGGAGGAACACTTTGTGTGCTACCAAACGTCACAACATAATTGGGTGATTATAAAGGAGCTCTACAGGTATCTCCAAAGGTACATGTTGAGTTGGCGTATTTCGAGATTAGGTTTTGTCACTCCGATTGTCGGAGAGGTATCTCTGGGCCCTCTCGGTAATGCACATCACTATAAGCCTTGCAAGCAATGTAGCTAATGAGTTAGTTACGGAATGATGCATTACGTAACGAGTAAAGAGACTTGCCAGTAACGAGATTGAACTAGGTATTGAGATACCGACGATCGAATCGCGGGCAAGTAACATACCGATGACAAAGGGAACAACGTATGTTGTTATGTGGTTTGACCGATAAAGATCTTCGTAGAATATGTAGGAACCAATATGAGCATCCAGGTTCCGCTATTGGTTATTGACCAGAAACAGTTCTAGGTCATGTCTACATAGTTCTCGAACCCGTAGGGTCCGCACGCTTAAGGTTTCGATGACAGTTATATTATGAGTTTATGAGTTTTGATGTACCGAAGTTTGTTCGAAGTTCCGGATGTGATCACAGACATGATGAGGAGTCTCGAAATGGTCGAGACATGAAGATTGATATATTGGAAGCCTATATTTGGATATCGGAAGTGTTCCGGGTGAAATCGGGATTTTACCGGAGTACCAGGAGGTTACCGGAACCCCCGGGGGCTTAATGGGCCTACATGGGCCCTAGTGGAGAGGAAGAAAGGAGGCAAGGGCTGAGCCACGCGCCCCTCCCCCCTAGTCCAAATAGTACAAGGAGAGGGGGGCGGCGCCTCCCCTTTCCTTCCTCTCTCCCTCCTCCTTCCCCCCTTCTCCTATTCCAACTAGGAAAGAAGGGAGTCCTACTCCCGGTGGGAGTAGGACTCCCCTTGGCGCGCCCCTTCTTGGCCGGCCGCCCCCTCCCCCTTGGCTCATTTATATACGGGGGCGGGGGGCACCTCTAGACACAACAATTGATCTCTTGATCTCTTAGCCGTGTGCGGTGCCCCCCTCCACCATAGTCCTCGATAATATTGTAGCGGTGCTTAGGCGAAGCCCTGCGACGGTAGAACATCAAGATCGTCACCACGCCGTCATGCTGACGGAACTCTTCCCCGAAATTCTGCTGGATCAGAGTCCGGGGATCGTCATCGAGCTGAACGTGTGCTAGAACTCGGAGGTGCCGTAGTTTTGGTACTTGATCGGTCGGGCCGTGAAGACGTACGACTACATCAACCGCGTTGTTCTAACGCTTCCGCTTTCGGTCTACGAGGGTACGTGGACAACACTCTCCCCTCTCGTTGCTATGCATCACCATGATCTTGCGTGTGCGTAGGAATTTTTTTGAAATTACTACGTTCCCCAACAGTGGCATCCGAGCCTGGTTTTATGCGTAATGTTATATGCACGAGTAGAACACAAGTGAGTTGTGGGCGATACAAGTCATACTGCTTACCAGCATGTCATACTTTGGTTCGGCGGTATTGTTGGATGAAGCGGCCCGGACCGACATTACGCGTACGCTTACGCGAGACTGGTTCTACCGACGTGCTTTGCACACAGGTGGCTGGCGGGTGTTTGTTTCTCCAACTTTAGTTGAACCGAGTGTGGCTACGCCCGGTCCTTGCGAAGGTTAAAATAGCACTAACTTGATGAACTATCGTTGTGGTTTTGATGCGTAGGTAAGAATGGTTCTTGCTCAGCCCCGTAGCAGCCACGTAAAATTTGCAACAACAAAGTAGAGGACGTCTAACTTGTTTTTGCAGGGCATGTTGTGATGTGATATGGTCAAGACGTGATGCTATATTTTATTGTATGAGATGATCATGTTTTGTAACCGAAGTTATCGGCAACTAGCAGGAGCCATATGGTTGTCGCTTTATTATATGAAATGCAAACGCCCTGTAATTGCTTTACTTTATCACTAAGCGGTAGCGATAGTCGTAGAAGCAATAGATGGCGTAAACGACAATGATGCTACGATGGAGATCAAGGTGTCGCGCCGGTGACGATGGTGATCACGACGGTGCTTCGGAGATGGAGATCACAAGCACAAGATGATGATGGCCATATCATATCGCTTTTATTGATTGCATGTGATGTTTATCCTTTATGCATCTTATCTTGCTTTGATTGACGGTAGCATTTTAAGATGATCTCTCACTAATTATCAAGAAGTGTTCTCCCTGAGTATGCACCGTTGCGAAAGTTCTTCGTGCTGAGACACCACTGTTGGAAATATGCCCTAGAGGCAATAATAAATTAGTTATTATTATTATATTTCCTTGTTCATGATAATCGTTTATTATCCATGCTATAATTGTATTGATAGGAAACTCAGATACATGTGTGGATACATAGACAACACCATCTCCCTAGTAAGCCTCTAGTTGACTAGCTCGTTGATCAATAGATGGTTACGGTTTCCTGGCCATGGACATTGGATGTCGTTGATAATGGGATCACATCA